TTCTGCAGCTGGAATTTGTCTTCTATTGTTCTCTGTCCTTGCTTCTTTTTAAAGCCACATGTCCAGTCCTTGGCCCAAGCTCAAAGGAATGATATAAAAGCCAACTCGAGCGGTTCCCTGGTTTAAAAGATTTCCGTGTTGATAGAAGAAAGATGAAAGAAAGAAGAAGAAAAAGTCTGAAGAATTTTGCAGAAATTTGAATTTAGGCCTATTCTCCAGAAAAGCTTCCGCTACACTAGAGTCCACTTTAAAGGTACCAGGAGAATCGCTCAGTGAAAGAGAGCCCTTCTAAGTCATTTATAAGGCTGTACAACGTAAGATAAAAGAGTTATAAGTGTTTGAAAATCATAAAAACGGCCGCCATCTTGAAAAATCAACCTCAATCCTATGATCCTACATATAGGCTACCGCCTATATAATAGATAAGAGAGCCAAGCGCACAAACAAGGATAGCTCACGCCTATTTATAGAATGCGTGGGCGGTTTCCAATCCCTGTGGGTGTAATATCTATGCTATAACAGTCACCATGGCCGCCATATTCATCCAAGAGTTCTGGAGCAACACGGGAGAGATGATGGTATAGCCTTGACGGGTCAGTTATTTCAGTTTGGAGCTGACCAGAATAATATCTGAAGATAGATAAACTGCTGCTGACAAGAGAGGAGCGTGGAAAGGAGCCAACATTAGAGGGAACGTTAGCCATCTAAAAACAGGGCGTGGCTAATTAATTAATCACAATGATTTTCCTGTACCAAAAAGAAGTGTGCTTGAAGAAATAAAATTAATTGTTAATAATTCTAGGTGTTGCTCATCATAGCCTATAGCTATGACAGCTGCTCTGCATGTAAATCGCTATCAAAATTAAAAATATCTTTTTCAAATTGGCAAGTATTAAAAATCAATGTCTAAAGTGTAAAACAAGAGAAAGCCTGTTATTGTTGTGTCTTTATAAATCTCTTGCTTCTTTAGTATTGCACCACTTGACATTTCATTTTTATTTCAGCTTGAACCTATCAATGAGATAACATTAAGATTTACCATGAGTAGTTACTGTTAGTACAGTCTTGTTATATTCTTCTTGTATGTAGTGCTCTTAGCATCACTAGCAGTAGTAGCCACTAGTGATCCCAGGCAGCACCACGTGGAGGCGGCACTACATTGCTACCCAACCTGTAATGATAGTTAACAATATATATTGACACTAACTGAATGGACTTTAACCTTTAACAGGAACTTGATAAACAAAGAGAAAGAATAATACATGACACTATTGATACTATACTGTTAGATCTTGAGTCTTTCAAACAGGAACTGGGTCGGTATATTATCTTAACAAACAAAGGTTAATATATGACACTATTGATACTATACTGTAACACGATCTTGAGTCTTTCAAACAGGGGCTTGTTGTTCCATTTTTTAGAATATTTACCTTAACACTGTACTGTAAGGTCTTTCATCTTCAAACAGGAACTTAGTAGTCTTGGTGTCCATTTTTGAAAAACATTTATCTTAACAAAGAAAGGTTAATAATGCAAGACATTATTGATACTATATTTCATCTTTCGTGTAGGAACTTGGAGTTCCGTTTAGAAATGTATCTTAATAGCGAAACGTTAATGTACATTATTGAATTGGAATGATACTTTTAAAATTGATCTTTAATCTTTCAAAAAATCTTTAGTCTTTCAAAAAATGATTCCATAATCTTATAATCTAACAAAGTAAGGTTACTACATAAAATACATTGACACTATGCCTTATATCTTCTCATCTTAGTCTTTAAATATTATACCTAGTAAGAAATGTAAATACATCACTATGACAATGTTAATGGATAAAAAACTTAATACCCTTATCCTTTATAATGCACTTTATATGAGAGTATCTAGTAAAAAATATAAAGAGCTACATTATACATTATTGATACTTAACTCTTTCAAATTAGATATCCTCTTTATTAGTCTTTAAAATAGTACCTGTAATATGTCTAGAAAGAACTTGTAGATTAATGCATTGTAAATGTACATGTTGAGAAAATACTTGAACAGTGAGATATCCCACACAGACAATGTGGACAGGAGCTTGTTGACCATTTGATGGTACTAAAACTGCTAGTGTTTCCTACACCATTAACCTTCAATATCTTACTATAACCTGTACCTACCTACAACTTATTACTATTGTTGAAAGTATGGACACTTAGCTAATTAGTATCCTTTAGTTTGGTATAAAGTGGATAATTGGGTTTGTTGGTTGATGTTGCAATTGTCACCAATGTACTGGTGTCTAACCCATTCATCATATCCATACTTCAGCTACTCATAACTTATGTACATTATTACTTACACTAAACCCTACAACTTACAACCTGTGACTCTAATATGACACAATGATACCTATACCATATTAACCTTGATATATAGAAGTACATTCCTATCTTAATACCATACCATTACCTACATACAACTTATAAATATGATCTTTAATGTGTGTTACACAATGATCATACATTATATCAATCCTACTATTATACAAGTCTCAATACCATACCATTACCTATGTATGTCCCTTAATGTTACCTCCATCATATTATCAACCTTGGTATACTAGTGGACACGTTCCACTGTCTACATTAACATATAACTTGTGACCATTAATTGTACACATGATACCTACACCATATCAACCTTGCTATACAAGTACTTTCCTATTACTATTATACCTACCACTTATAATGTACCACTTATAATGTATGACCACAAAATGTAACACATTTCAATACTTAATACCATACCATTATAACTGTATATTCACTACCTCCTACCACTACTGCATGTGACTCTTGCCTATTATACTGTAACCTCTACAACCTTAACATAATAACAAGTATACTCTTGATACACAATCTACCACAATGTGTCATTATAGGAATGAATAATAAGGTGGAGAAACATAAGTTAATTCTGTGTCGATAAGACTAAAATGTGGAAGGGAAAGTGGTCACTGAGAACTACATTAATTCATTATAAATTGATACAATATTGTCAAATTATGAAATGAATTGTCCTGGCTATGAAACAACAACACACATTTGCGACAAAATGCAACGCAGAACTAAAATTTGCTAATATCATGTGAACCTTAAAGCGTTATTTGAATCAAACATTAGATCATGCGCAGGCGATTTCAACGTTAAGCTGATAATAAACCTACAATCAGAGTTACTAACTTATTTTGAAAGCTGGGGCAAACACTGTAAACAAATGAGCTGTAGTCAAAGTGACAGCATCGAGAAAGAGATCAGAATGAGAATTAGGAAGCTAGTGCCCAGGACCGTCAAACTACCTGCATCACAAACCTCATCAATCTACCCACTGCTCCTTTGGCTTAGCTCAATTGTATAATGTTTGCCTGGTTTTAGTTAGTTAAAGGATTGAGACAAAAAAGGAAAAAAGTCTGATCCTTTCTTCTGCTTAGAGTCCATATCACACAAAAAGGAAAGAGAGAGAAAGAGAAGAAGAGAGGGTTCCAAGCATGAGATACGGGGAGCCACTATCGGACCCAAAAGGGGGACTCCTCACCCACACTCCTGGGCAGAACCCTCCCCCCTTCGCTAACCCTCCCCTTCCCTCTGACTAAAAGCAGGTCACTGTAAAAAAGGTAGCTCAACCCATACAGTGAAAAAAATGCTTATGTCTTCATAGAATCCACAACAGCTAGGATATGTTCTCCTCTCCTCCTCTGGTATGTCTATCAGTTCCTCTCCTTCCTCCTCTCAGACAGATAGTGATAAATTAAGATCCAATTGTAAACTGTAGATTAGTGCTGGATGCTTGATCCTCAATGCTATGATAACAGTGTGAAGTGTTGTGTCCACAGTGATTGCCTCCTTGTTAGCTGCATGACATCTTTTCCAAAGAACGGTTAGCAAATCATATGGAATGTTCTTGATTGATACACTAGCTCTCACAAGGTACTGAATTAATTCATGATAATGACAAACGCTACAGGCTCGATCCATAAAAATGATTATGTGATTGAAAATAACAGTCTTTTTGCAAGCAGGTGGAGTGATCCAATGGTGACAAACATTGTCCAGAGACAGCAAGACTGGAGACCAGGAGACGTTACGATCTTATGCTACGTGAGGACACGTGTACCAACACAAACAGAAAAACACTAATAATAAATTACTATCATATGTGTACATGCAGACACTAACATATTAAAAACAATAATGTGAAACATCAAGGGACTCTGTCCCCTAGTCATGGGCACAAGTACATACATACAGAATCAGTGAGGGACAACCAATTAGTATAATACAAACACACCAAAAATAGCTAAACTTAGAAACAGTTTAAGGTCATGTTTAGGACTGTTAAAATCTAACAAAATATGCAATGAAATAGGATTTTACAACCATTTGGTTACACATTGGTTAGGGTGTTCCTATATTGCCTATATTATAACCTGTGGCCATTAATACAGTAACAGTAGCATAAAAACTACACAGTCCTACCTCCTACCATATTGATCCTAACAGAACCAGTAAGGGATTCCCTAATAACATTAACATACACAGCTACAGCTACAGACAACAATAATGATAATACAGGAAGGGATTAGGTATTACTAGCTGCAGGCAGTCCCAACTAGCAAAACAATAATACAATGACAACTTGCTCCAAAATCTTCTTAATGCTAAACTCCAACACACAAGAAGACCTAGCTCTTCCATGACTCGATCCGATTTGGACTTGTACAGGACGTCAGAGACTTCAAAAAAACCTAAGACTTCATGAGGACTTGAAACCCACTACCTTTACAGCTCCTATAATTCAAAGAAACAAATTAACACGTTAATCTTCCAAATACACTCCCTCCCTCCCTTCCCTCTCTCAATAACCAA